GACACAAGGATTAGGGATTGACTGACCCAAATTTATTGTTAGGCTAACGTGGCAGGCTTTATTACATTACTGTAATGTAATAATTCTTTTACTTGTTGAGGTGCTCTTTTAATCTAAAAATGAATGAATATATACAACAGCACTTCCGTAATTTCTTCCTTGGGTGAGCCATGGCTAGTATATTGAGGAAAAAGACAGTAGAGCGCTATGTTGAAATAGAAAAAAAAAATACAAACCTCGAAGCTTATAGTAACAACAGAAAACATCAAATCCTTATGATGTATACAAAAGATCCTTTTAATATAAGCCCTAAAAATGTCAGTTACCAATTCAGTGTATAGAAGCAGCTATATAAGCAGAACCAGAAATGGAAAATTGCTACTCATCTCAATACAAAGCAATGCAATTGAGAACTGGTGTTCGAAAACCTGTAAGAAAAGCCCAATGGAAACATTAATGACCAAAGCACATGCTGCCTTTTCTTGCCGAACTGCTGGCAGTTGTCCTTGTGCCCTTTCTATATTTAAGAAAAAGGAAAACCTATTAAGACATAGTGCTGTACTTCCAGTATCTATTCTAAAGCTTTTTGAATGTTTATCTTTCAATAGATGAAGACACTCCAGTATTAAATAGATAACATATAAGGTATCACATTAATGTGGACAATTAATATGAGCTATTATTCCTGAACAAGTACACTGAGAGCAAGACACACTGTTAAAGTTTGTAGACACCAAAATTCCCAGGAGATTTGGATTTTTCTCCATTTCCTTTCAGTTATGTTTTTAAACCTCAGCACACTGAGCCATACAAGTAAGCTAGCACGTGGAAGAAACACAAACATATTCTCATACTCACCAAGGAAACAACTAATGTGAAGAGCCAGGCATAGATGAAGAAGTAGTCTCCTCCTATTTTAATAATGTAAAGCAGAAGGGATGTCACTGGCAACAGAATACACTGGGTCACGATAAACTTCTTGATAGCATCCTTAAAAAAAAATCCCAGTGTCTGTAAAGAAAGGATATCAGTGATATTTTCAATGTAAATATTCATGTGCCACAGTGGTTAATGAACTGATCCCTTCAGTGGATGCACAGAAACAAAGTAAGACAAATCGCAAACCAGCAATACCAATGTGATAAGGAAATCAGAGTCAGTTAAGAAAAGGTGGAAGAACCTTTTCACCTCCTCTCCTGGTAGCTGTGGCTCTTTACATCCACATGGACTCCAAGCCCATGCAGATGCACTCTTCCTTAGCAAGATGTGACCCAAACCCTTATTTTGCATTGCACATATACCCTTCATTAAAGGAGGAAAGAAAAATTTAAGCTTGTATGTCCCTTAATTCCTTTATCAATCTATATCCTAGACATTATGGGATTTTTAGAGAATAGGAAGCTCTTAAAGAGACATAGCTACTGTAAAATATTTTGTCTTTGAACAGTTGCCTCCATTCATCTTAACTTTCAGTTACCACTAAGCTGATTGTCTTAACTGGAAGTCCTATTAAAGATTTTTAGATATATATTGGGTATTTTACTCCAAGCTACCACTGACATGCAGTTACTACTCATGTAGCCGTCTCAGGTTTTAAAATTAGCATAACTTTAATAGAAGCAATAGAAGTTTCAAAGACCTTTACCCGAATGAATCTGGTCTAGTGACTCTACAACATGATTAGACACCCAACTAGTTCTTTCAGGAATTGTTACTTCAGTACTTACAGCTACCTGCAAGGCATAGAAGTGAGGGGGTTATTATGTAAGGATCCTTCCCAACAAGGTTGTATTAAAAAGCCCATACTACGTTAAAGATATGGAACTCGTCTGGAAAGAAAAAAAATACTGGTGAAACAGATTTAAATAGAAACTAAGGATTTGGGGCAAGAATTTGGAGGGACGCCTGAGACTTCCATGACTATTGGAAACACAAATCAGACATAAACCCATAATTTTAGACGACTATTCATGTAGACATATTCACTCTGGTCACACAGTGAGCACTCCGGTGATATATTCTTACTAAGTGACCATTAGTATCAGCAGTAACACAATTGTACAGACACATGCCCACACAAATGGAGCACTCCAGAAGATACTGTTCCTTGCCTGCCTTTAATATTCCCAGGTAGTGTAGGCTACCTTTTCCAGCTCTGTAACTAGCAAAGCAAGACTTGTGGCTCTCATTCACACTAAGCAATGGTCCTTTCCTGAAAATAGTATGGAGAAGCATGAAAGAAACTCTGTGGGTCATCCCGGACAAAGGAAAATTTGCTTCCATTTGATCAAGACTCTTAAACTGGTACAAGCCAGGAGAGAGAACACAAAATACACAACACTATGTTCCTCCTTTATTACTTCCTCAGCTCAGCCAGAAAAAGGCCTGTTATACAGCTTTTTCATTTTTTAGCTTAGTAAACAGCTGAAGAAACAGTCACTTAATATAACCTAGAAGAACTCTTAACAGAAGCATGCTGCTAGCACTGTTTCCACTGGGCTTTCTGAAACACGTCAACTACAATCCATCTAGCTCAAGTTTTCATTTTAACTTTTTCTTTACTTCCAGCTCCACAATCTAGGAGGAATAGAGCTATAAAATTGCATGGTGTCTTTCATCTTTGCCCCGCCTCTTTCCTGCTTTCTAAGGCAGATGCGACTTCAAGAGAAATCCTCATTTTCAGCAAGCCACTCCCAAGAAAGAGTCTATCTGAAGATCATTTGAGAATCATTGCTAGAAATTCCAAAGTCTGTGCTGGTACCAGATGTGAATTTGGCTCATTCACTAAAGGACCTAGCCCATTTGTCTGAAACGAAAGATGGAGATTTGACTGTGATTATAAGACATTTGGTACCTCAAATTGGATTGGAGCTGGACTCAGCCTTCAGTTCTTGGCATGAGGACCACTGCAGTGAAAAAACTTGTAGAAGACATCATGCAGGTAGCTCAATCAAACATTAACAACACCCATAGGTGTCAGTGCCAAGTCTTCCTTTTCTCATTTGATTACGCACAATGCTTGCATTGACAACAGTGAAGCACCCAGAGAGCACAGCTCCAAGGAGAAAATGTTCAGAGGATATACCCAGAATTCTCCTTAACCTCCCTAAAGCATACAAAGAAACAACATGGGTTCTGCAAGCTCTCAAGACAGTTTTAAAGAAGCCCGAGCTGCTAAGTTCAGTATTTGATCCTCTGCTTCTTCTGCACAGAGGTAGGGCCTGGTCAAGGCCTGATCAAGTCGAGCTCTCCATCCATCAGCTAGTCTGCCAATTTACTCTAATTCTAGTGCTTTACAAGTCCCAACACTGACAGTCGTTGGACTTTTGTGTCCTGGACATAAAGGGCTTACAGATCTGGCACCAAGATGGAACTTACTCCTCACTAAGGTAGGAGAGACAATCAAGGTGCAGGCCTGATACTCAGGATTGACATGAGAGACAACAGTGAAGGATAACTTTTGATGCTTATTTAAGGATTCTGAATGTCAGAAGTATGTCTAGGCTAGGCCAGGGCATAAGCACACTGCAAGAATTGGTCTTTGCCAGCCCTTACAATTTTTGAGGACTACAGAACAGAAGTAATAGCCAGAGAACAAACAAAATACATCAAATAGGTATTTCCCTGAAGAAAAGATTGCTTGACTGATGCTCTGGAAACATGGGAACATTCCTTCCTCCCTTGATAGGAGCAGGATGTTTGCCTGCCAGTATGCTCACTGTAAAGTCTGCAGAAGGGAAGGGGATCTCCAGGACTATGGCTCAGAATCACCTAGGATATGAATGGCCATGTGCGCCATCATTCTAACAACGAGTATTTCCTTGCTGCTGAGAGAAAAAATGATTGTTAGAAGTTACACACGTTTTTAGAACAAGGTTTTTTTTATAAGACTAGAGAGCTATGTGGAGTATAAAGAGAGTTCTGAGTTGGTCACAAGCTCAAGGCTTATGACTAACTAGAACAATCTTCAGATTTGCTCCCCAAAGACTGGAGCAGGAGCTGCTGTTGGCACAGTATCCAAATATCGGAGGTGGGGAGGGGGGGAACCAAAAAAGCCTTGCAGTTTCCAGGAATACAAACAGATGTCAAGACAAAATAGCCCAAATTTCATATTTGGGCTTCCCTGGAAAGAAAATAGTATGCCACTAAATAATTGACGTGAATCAAAATAATACAGGATGTATCGGGTTCTACACGCTTCTGTTTTAAAGATGATTGAGAGAGGGTGCAAACTGGATCGTTGCATTTAGAGCTTTTTTTCTCACATTTTCTTACTTGTTTTATAAAAAGGAATAAGAAACATCAATTTATCAATTTACCAGGAATATAATGAGTTTAGAAACAAACTGATTCTACTTCTTTAGGTCTAGCTCAGTCTTCCTGCCTCCATAGAAATTGGAAGATGAAACTGGCAAATACCAGAGCATCTCTACCCCTATTAAAATGAGCCAAACAGCTTTATCCCACATCTGCTACCCATCCAGATTTTATTCTACTGTAAAAAAAAAAACTTCCTAGTAGACTTAGAACAGAAAGTACTGTAGACAACACTAGCTGGGTCCAAAAGCAGAAAACAAGTCTCATGCTCTGGCATAAAATGGCTAATGATGTGTGCCAGATTGAGGTTCCTCTCCCGAAAGGAAAATCTGATCCCATGAGAAACTGATAGTGAACAGGTTAAACTAAGATGGTGAGAGAAATTAAGAAAGCCAGGGCTGATATTAAGTGAGTACCTAACAGAAGTACAAATGAAGAGCTGAATTCTCTAATTTAGTAAAGGCTGATACAAGAAATCAATAAGCCAAACAAAATGAGGAGGAGAACAACTTCTCCGTTTTGTTTCATCTGTTCAGTGTCCATGAATCAGAACTGCCCCTGTCAAGCAGTGATCCAGACTTCAAAGGAAGGGCATATGAAGGGCAAAGAATAGTCCATCCAAAAATGAACAGCTGAGGTATGAAATTTTCTTTGTTCCACTGCTGGAATACACACTTCTTTTTGCTTAGAGGCATGGGCTCATGCAGAGACATTCTGGTGTGGCATGGGTACTTCTGCAACAGTCACAAACTGTCATTGCTCTTATTTGGCACAGACGTGGACATACCAGTCCACCTAACCAACCAAACCTACTGAAGACGTTAGGTCAGTATAAGTGCTATCTACAATACCTGTTGATTGAAGCCATGTTTCTCTTCTATGACAAATGTGTTATATAAACTCCATGGGAGACCAGTCACTGCACTGAAGAGTGTTGCGAGCAGCAGAAATACCAATGACTGAACAATCTAAAAAAAAAAAAAAAATTTTATATTTACTGGCCTGTACTAACATTAATATTCTGGTGTTAAAAATGGATTTTATGTCAGTGGTTTAACTGAAACTGGTTAGAAGATGAAGCTAGATAAATTCACAGAAATAACATTTGTGATGATTAGATTACTGATCACTGGAATAGCTGACTATGTTAAAGAAAGAAAAAAATACACTGGTGAAACAGATTTAAATAAAAACTAAGGATTTAGGACAAGAATTTGGATAGATGCCTCATCCACAGCACAAAGACAACATAAGCAATAGCCTCAAATTTCTTACCGTTTTACTGTGCAGAAAGATCACATCCAGGATTAGTAAAAAGACAACACCCAAACAAAAAGTCCCCAAAACCCCAACCCACCACCTCGTTTGACTCAAGTAGCTTTGAGACTTGTATGTTTTTAACATACAAGGCTATTCTAATTAGTAAGCTAATTTAAAAGTCACATACTGTTATCAGTTCTCAGACTCACCCAATCATTGTGTTCACCAGAAAATGTTATTTTTACTGTATTGTACCTGTAGCTAAATCCCACTTTAAGTAAAGGCAAGCTTAAAAATAAAACTTATTTTAACAGTATAGTTCACGGACCAAACATTTTCACTAAACTTTAAAGACTGCTTACCTCATATTCTGGTCCAAACCCAGCACGACCAGAGATCTGACCAGACAGATTCCAGAGAAAAGGAATTCCTCCACAAAGGAGAATCATCTTGAAAACAAAAACACATACCACAGAGGAAGTATGAAACAGATCTTATTCTACTAAAATTTCAGCATGATAAGGACCTTTTAAGGGTGAATGAGAAAAGTTTTATAAATGGGCTTTTTTGTCTCCCTCTGATCTTAGCATAAAGAAAGCCTGGAATATTTGGCAATGGTTCATTTTTACTTTACAGAAGTAGAGATCAGGTCAAGCTTTTTTTTTTTTTTTCCAAGCCTATTTACTGTAGACTTTGCCGCTATGTTGGCTCAGACATAAGGTATATTTTTCAGAAGACCTTAAAACTCATTTGCCCTGTGCTTGTATGACATACCATCTCTAGGAATGGTATGCAAGATTCAGCAGCTTGACTGCACTGGGACAGTCTCACCTGCATTCCCCACCGAGAGAAAGGCATTCAGACTAAGGCTGTAATTTCACTTTCAGTATTAGTGCTGCTTCATCCATTTTAAGAAAGCTTCACGCTTTCCTCCTTGTGCCTGCCTTGCAATGCCTCCTGCCATACAGGTTGCCAAGGAACAGGGAGTGGATTACTCAAGACATACCATCAAAGAAATGCTTGAGACAGAGCTATTGAAGCAAGCGCTAACTGTAGTTCAAGGCAGGGGCTGGTAGTGTTTGTTAAACAGCTTGACTTCCAAGTGTTTCACATTTACTTTCTTAGCAAGCGATGAATCACTATATATATAAAAATCAGTTTTCCAGCAGGCAGCTTTCCAGTATGGACAGTACCAGGTTTTTATTTACTTATTTATTTTTAAAAGGCTTACTCTTATAACCTAACTATTAGGGTGCATTTTGAGCGTCAGCAGGAGATGGGAAGGACCAAAGCAAGCTTGTTTCTGCTTTGCAGGCTACCTGTAAGTTTCAGAGCTGGAAATCACAGAGGTACCAATCCCTGAACAAAGACAGCTATTAGCATGATGTTGATACTACTTATTAGTTAAAAAGAAACCCACATAATGGCTGAAATAAATCAAAGCATACTAGTAATTCTAACACAGCATCTCCCCTTCAATTAACTTGTTAGGTTAATGAATCATACTTCTACCTACTAAAAGCAAGATGCTCAAAATTGTCATTCAATTTCACCAATTTTGGCCACAACAGCCTTTTTCACATTCAGACAGTTCCCAAAGCAAATAAAGGATGCAGTTTACGCTCTAAGAAGTGGCAAACCCACACATTAGAGGCCACCTCAATTTAGCTCTGATGGAATCTGATAATCCCAGGACAGATTCTGAGAAACAGAAAGACACAGCTCAACATCACAGAAAGGAACAATAACTCAACATCATATACATGTAGACAATAAGCTGCATGTACCCTACACACCAGGGGTATCAGCTTGATTAAAGAATAGAATCATTTAGGTTGGAAAAGACCTTTAAGATCACCGAGTCCAACTGTTAACCTAACACTGCCAAGTCCACCACTAAACCATGTCCCTGAGTGCCACACCTACATGTCTTTTAAATACTTCCAGGCATGGTGACTCAACCGCTTCCCTGGGCAGCCTGTTCCAATGCTTGACAACCCTTTCAGTGAAGAAATTTTTCCTAATATCCAATCTAAACCTCCCCTAGCACAACTTGAGGCCATTTCCTCTCGTCCTATGGCTTGTTACTTGGGAGAAGAGACAGACCCCCACCTCGCTACAGCCTCCTTTCAGGTGGTTGTAGAGAGCGATGAGGTCTCCCCTCAGCCTCCTTTTCTCCAGGCTAAACAACCCCAGCTCCCTCAGCCGCTCCTCATTAGACTTGTTCTCCAGACCCCTCACCAGCCTCGTTGCCCTTCTCTGGACACGCCCCAGCACCTCAACATCCTTCTTGTAGTGAGGGGCCCAAAACTGAACACAGTATTCGAGGTGCGGCCGCACCAGTGCTGAGTACAGGGGCACTATCACTTCCCTGCTCCTGCTGGCCACACTATTTCTGATACAGGCCAGGATGCCGTTGGCCTTCTTGGCCGCCTGGGCACACTGCCGGCTCATGTTCAGCCGGCTGTCGACCAACACCCCCAGGTCCTTTTCCGCCAGGCAAAGGATTTGTGACTACAGGCAGCCTTGATAACATAGCAGTGTTTTGCCTGTAGCGTTGCATGGGGTTGTTGTGACCCAAGTGCGGGACCTGGCACTTGGCCTTGTTGAACCTCATACAGGTCCCCTTGGGAATGAGGAATGTATGAAGAACCTGTCTGAAATTTAACAAGCAATAATGGCCTTAGTTACAACCATACCATTGCTGCAGCCTGCAGACCAGAGGTATTTTCCCTATTAGGAAATACGCTGCAGCCATGACAGCGTAAGGGTATGCAGGAAAAGGTTTGTATATTATGTCTTGTTTTTATTAGGTTGATCACAGTAAGTGGAACAAGCAGGCAGGTTTTTTTGGAAACACAAGCTCTTCTTCAAGTCTGAAGTGAAGCCAGCAGACTTCAGTACAATTGAGAACAAGTTCTCAAAATCTGAGAAGATGGTATCAAGTCTAGAAGTGTTAGCAGCAGCAGACGGAAGATTAGAGTGAGCCAGATACTCAGTGTCTCTGCTAAGTCCGTGGTACACAGCTGGAAGTTCATAGAATCATAGAATCATTAAGGTTGGAAGAGACCTCCAAGATCATCGAGTCCAACCGTCAACCCAACAACACCATGCCCACTAAACCATGTCCCTAAGCGCCTCATCTACCCATTTTTTAAATACTTCCAGGGATGGTAACTCAACCACTTCCCTGGGCAGCCTGTTCCAATGTTTAACCACTCTTTCAGTAAAGAAATTTTTCCTAATATCCAATCTAAACCTCCCCTGGCACAACTTGAGGCCATTTCCTCTCGTCCTTTCGCCAGTTACTTGGGAGAAGAGACCGACCCCCACCTCACTACAACCTCCTTTCAGGTAGTTGTAGAGAGCGATGAGGTCTCCCCTCAGCCTCCTTTTCTCCAGGCTAAACAACCCCAGTTCCCTCAGCCGCTCCTCATCAGACTTGTTCTCCAGACCCCTCACCAGCCTCGTTGCCCTTCTCTGGACACGCTCCAACATCTCAACATCCTTCTTGTAGTGAGGGGCCCAAAACTGAACACAGTATTCGAGGTGCGGCCGCACCAGTGCCGAGTACAGGGGCACAATCACTTCCCTGCTCCTGCTGGCCACACTAGTTCTGATACAGGCCAGGATGCCGTTGGCCTTCTTGGCCGCCTGGGCACACTGCCGGCTCATGTTCAGCCGGCTGTCGACCAGCACCCCCAGGTCCTTTTCCGCCAGGCAGCTTTCCAGCCACTCTTCCCCAAGCCTGTAGCGCTGCATGGGGTTGTTGTGGCCGAAGTGCAGGACCCGGCACTTGGCCTTGTTGAATCTCATACAGTTAATCTCATACAGTTCTCAATGTTTCACAAGCTATTATCTCAAAAAATAATCACCCTAGTTCTCTATCCCTACCATTTGGACTACTCCAAAGGTAATGACTACATTATCACTCAAGTGCTCCAGCCGCTAACTAATTCAGCTCTGAACTTTATTCCAAGCTTGTATTATCTTTTCAGTGTATAGTTGACATTACTGACCAGAAGCAGCTTTATATGCCTCCAAGATTGTCTATTTTTTTTTAGACCAGTTAGTGCAGTTGGGAAAGTGCTATTACCTAGATTTTTTTCTGATCTTTAAAACATACCAAAAAAAGGTACCATAAGGATGTTTTCCAACTCTCAATTTTCCAAGAAAACCTTTTGTCCTGGGATGACGGGGGGGGGGGGGGGGGAGTTCCATTCAAGTGTAATTTTCCCTTTGCAGGAACAAAATAATCAGAGAAACCTGAGGGTGTGCTTTCCTAGGGAGAAGGGAAGATAAGAACTGTGTTAACAAGGAACACAATGTTAAAGGACAGGAATTCTAAACACAAGGGCAGCAGAGAGGACTAGCTGTGAAGATCTTCCAAAGCTCCCAGCTGGCTATGATATACTTCCCTTACATCATTCCAAATGGGACCTGAGTGTTCAACCACAAACACAAATTTTGCGACTTTAACATAAAATTCATTAAGGAAACTACAAATGGCAGCCTTTCAAAAGTCTGCTTTAAAGAAGGAAGTGCCCAGCCAACGCCCAGCACCAAGAGAAGTAACATAAAATGACCTACAGAACTCGATGAAGAAACCCTGCTGTAGGGGTGACTGGGTATCAGGGATACTATATGGTTGTAGATTATTTAGCCCTAGCTACGCAAAACTTATATTAATGGAGCCATAATGAAGAAATGAGATGTAGGAGCCACTGGACTTGCAAGCATTACCTTGCTTCCACAAAGCTCTGCAACCTCTGTAGCAAATCTGTGAACGCAGGCAAAGCTTGGACATCTAATAGCTTGCAGGCCCATTAGCAACCCTCCTGGGACAGCTCACTCCCAATCCCAAATTCAAGAAGTTCTGGGATACAGAATCCCAAGACCACAACCCATCAAGCCCAAGTAGGAACACTAACTTCTTGTTCAGAAGATGAAAGCGTCTGACAATACTAGTAGAATATGGGCGTACAGTATCTCAGCTGACTGCTCCAAGACCTGCTTATTCAGGCCAGCGCTCGATTAATTAACTGGGAGCTTTAACTCACATATTCCATGTTTTTTTTCCTTGGCTTTTGTTCATCAGTGTCACTGCAACACAAAAAGCAGAGCACCACAATCAATTTGGTAACAGCAGCAGCAGTTTGAGACACAACTGCTTCCCAGCTGTTTATCACCACCACAGCTGAAACAGTGGAACAACATATAAGCTAAGATGCTTGACTTAGTAACTGGTTTTGACTGCTGCTTAGGAAGCACCAGCATAGTCTGGGTTTTCTGGCTTAGTTGTGGAAGACAGCTGGATACAGTAAATGCTTTAACAGATCCATCAGGTGCCAAAATCATTGTGGACCTGTACACATTACATTACAGTAACAGGGACAGAACGGAAAGAAAAGGTCATGAGAGAAAGCAAAGGCTGTGCTTTTCCTACACAGGCACAAATACAGAATCACAGAATGGTTTGGGTCAGAAGGAACCTTTAAAGGTCATCTGGTCCAACCCCCCTTCCACGAGCAGAGATATCTTTCACTAGATCAGGTTGCTCAAAGCCCTGTCCAACCTGACCTTAAACACTTCCAATGATGGGGCATCCACAACTTCTCTGGGCAACCTGTTCCACTGTCTCACCACCCTCATCGTAAAAAAATTCTTCCTTACGCCCAATCTAAACCTACCCTCTTTCAGTTTGAAACCATTGCCCCTTGTCCTGTCACTACAGGCCATGGTAAACAGTCTCTCTCCATCTTTTTTATAAGCCTCCTTTAAGTATTGAAAGGCCACAGTAAGGTCTCCCTGGAGCCTTTTCTTCTCCAGGCTGAACAATCTCAACTCTCTCAGCCTTTCTTCATAGGAGAGGTGTTCCATCCCTCTAATCGTTTTTGTGGCCCTCCTCTGGACCCGCTCTGACAGGTCAATGTCTTTCTTGCACTGGAGACACCAGAGCTGGACGCAGTACTCCAGGTGGGGTCTCACCAGAGCAGAGTAGAAGGGCAGAATCACCTCCCTCCACCTGCTGGCCACGCTGCTTGTGATGCAGCCCAGGATATGGTTGGCTTTCTGGGCTGCAAGCGCACATTGCCAGCTCATACCCAATTTTTCATTCACCAGTATCCCCAAGTCCTTCTCGGCAGGGCTGCTCTCAATCCATTCATCTCCCAGTCTGTGCTGATACTGGGGATTGCCCCGACCCAGGTGCAGGACCTTGCACTTGGCCTTGTTCAACTTCATGAGGTTTGCACAGGCCCACTCCTCAAGCCTGTCGAGGTCGCCCTGGATGGCACCTCTTCCCTCGTGCGTATCAACTGCACCAGTCAGCTTGGTGTCATCTGCAAACTTGCTGAGGGTGCGCTCAGTCCCAGTGTCTATGTTGTTGATGAAGATATTAAATAGTATTCGTCCAAGTATGGACCCTTGAGGGACACCACTGGTTTCCACTTGGACATTGAGCCATTGGCTATAACTCTTTGGACGCAGCCATCCAACCAGTTCTTTATCCATCTAACAGTGCATGTGTCAAACCCGTATCTCTCCAATTTAGTGGCTAAAATGTTGTGAGGGACCGTAACAATAGTAGGCCTGAGTGAAGATAAGCACAGACTGCTGATAAGGCTCTTTGTTTAGCAGGGCACTAGATTCAGTGGCAAAAGAGGCTCATTCCAATCATGTATTATTTTCCTTAGAAACAACAAGGGAAGCTGTTTTGGCTAAAGCTCTTGAAATCAAGATAAAGCTTCAGAACCTTTTGACTTGTTGCCCTTGCTAGGTAGTACCATGTCACCCTGTCCACTAATCCACTCTCGGAGGATAGCTTCGTTTTTCAAATGAAATACTGCCTCTAAAGTCGGTCAAAAACGTAGCTTTTCAAATTCACACAAAAATTTTCTTGAGTTCTACTCAGCATACCAAAAAGCCCAACAAGAAGACTGTAACAGCTATACCGACACATGTATAACAACATTTTTACAAGTTCTTACAAAATGAAACAATGTACAGGTTAGGCTGCACAAAAGAGATCAGGAAATGCGAAAGTTAAGAGGGGTCACAATTCTTAAGTACTGGTTTCGCATCATAGTTATACAGTGACATGACTTACACTATTTTACACCACTATTTTCATTATCTCTTATAATTGACCTTTTTGCTTCCTTAAGTTCATCTTGTAGTAGATCACACTCTAATTATATTTTGCAATGCCAGGCATTTCAGGATTCCTTTCTGACCCAGTTGTGCTCCTGATGAGCAGTGCATTTCAGCAGTAAGTCAGAAAAGGTTTCTGTATATCACACATGTAAATACTTTGTTCTAATTCAGTGGCTCTGGTTTTTCATATATGCAAACATTATTTGCCCAGTGTAATTGTTCTTAAACTTAAGAAGTATCCATTGGTACTCTTCCTGTTCTCACAGGCTTTTCTTTCTACGTTCTACTTAAATTTTATCTAAAAATGAAAGTAGTTGCATCCCTCCAAACACAGAAAAAGTCTGTATTTGTAACAATTTAAAATAATTCTAATGTTGCTTAATTATTTGGCAGTGGAAACCACAATAGGTCAGCTGTGCCACTAAAACATAATAATATAATACATGCTGTAGTTGTGCAGTATGACTCAGCACTGCATAGAGAAATTATGTGCTGTCTGAATAATTCCTTCTTCTTATATGGCAAATACAGCCACAAACAAGAAACACAGAATCCTAGGCCTTCCAAATTTCAGTGTTTGATGTAAGACGCCAGAATGCCAACAGTGCAGCTGCACAGGATCACTAAGAATCAAAGTATTTCACAGTTTAAGTACATTAAAAGTATCATATGAATGCCAGAGCAGCTCAGGTACTTACAGTGCCCTCAACCTCTGAATACAGGCCTGACCAAAAGCTGAAAGTACTTTTGTCCAGCTGATACAGACGAGATTTTTCAAATGTTTCTGAATCCATGATCTGTCCCAATTCCCGTGGTACATGTGTTGTTGTTCTATACACCCGTCTCTGAAAAATTGAAAAAGAAACTTAAAGTCTACATCCAATATTTTTAAGGAGATAAATAATATCTAAAAGTAACATACAACATGATCCCACCACAGAAATTTTAAAAAACCCCAAATAATCCACAAAATAACAAATATTCCTAAAGTCCTGTTTTCTATCAAGTTCCAAATATAAAACTGAAGCATAATTATTATGTTATAACCAGAAACTGACTTGCCTACTTATTAATTTATTTCCAATAAAGATTACACAAACTCCTTTTTCCAGAGGATATGACTTACGGCACCACAGTAACAACTAAGCAGAGATTGAAACTAAACACCAGATCCTCCCATGCAAACCATGCGACTTCACCAGAAAACATATCTATGTGGCTGCACAAATGAGGTGCTATTTCATTTTTGGTAGAGAACTCACCACTTTAAAATTTTTGCAGACTAAAAGTCCTTATTCCATCCACTACCTTATCTTGTTTCAGTACATTTATCCCTTTTCAAAAGAAAACCTCCTACCCCTTGTCACTTCAAAATACATTCCTCCTCTGACTGCAGCATCAGGCCGCGGTCTCACAGACAGCTTAGCTGGTCTAAAGGCTCACACGGGCACGCAGCATTGCTTCCTGCCCTCCTGGCAGCGTTCTCCCCAGCTGCGCTGGGTCTGGCTGGGATGGAGTTAATTTTTTCAGAGCAGTCTGCACGGTGGTATGCTTTTGCGTTTGTGGCCAAAGCGGTGTTGATAACACACCGGCCTTCTGGCTGCTGCTCAACAATGTCAAGGCTTTCTCTCTCTCTTCCCCAGCGAGCAGGCTGGGGGTGGACAAGAGGCTGGAAGGCGACATAGCCAGGACAGCTGACCTGAGCTGACCAAAGGGATATCCCATGCTGTGTCACGTTATACTCAGCAATAAAGACAGAAGCAGAGGAAGAAGAAGGGGAGGGGAAGAGGGTGTGACTTCCAAGGTGGCTGTTACTTAGAGACTGGCCAGGCATCGGCCTGCTTGGGGGAGGTGGTGAGCTACTGCCTTTGCAGCACTTGTAAGGGTTTTTCCCCTCTTTCCTTCGCTTATTAAACTGTCTTTACTTCGACGCATGAGTTTTCTCACTTTTGCTCCTCCTGCTCTCTCACCTGTCCTGGGGGAGGAGGATCGAGCTGCTGGGTGGGTGCTGGGCTGCTGGTTACCCCACCGCACCCACACTTTTCAGGTCCTTCTATGAACTCACCTAACTCACTGATGTGATGGCGAGTGTCCCCCCCACCCCGCAAAAACAAGCGGGGGACAGCGCCTTGGTTCATCTGAGGGAGTGCAGCCGGTCCACAGAAGACCAGCTGTGCTCCAGAGCAGGGGCAAGCCTGAGCAGACGCAGGCAGCCACTTCAGACC